TTGTTTGTTTGTTTGTTTGTTTGTTTGTTTGTTTGTTTGTTTGTTTGGTCCTAGCTGAAACTAGAGGGGTTTTGTTTTGTTTTAAAATGTAGTTGAGGTTTTACTTTTCTTTAAGGGTGACAGTTTTTATTTGTTCTTGTGCTGAAAACAGTTTATTTGAAGCTGATTATAAAGTGATTTTTTTTTCTCTCTGTATGTCTGTAATCAACTTGTTTAATTTACTGTAGTGTGTTTCACAATTCTGAATGGTGTCATCTGTGGTTACCCCCAGGTTTACACCAGAGGCAAAGGCTAATCGTCATCCATTTGTATACCTGCCCTTCGGAGCTGGACCCCGTAGCTGTGTGGGAATGAGACTTGCCCAGCTGGAAATTAGAATGGTTTTTGCACATTTGTTCCACAGATTCAGCATTGTGGCCTGCTCAGAGACCAAGGTGTTTTTTTTTTTTGTTTGTTTTTTTTTAACAAAAAGAAAAAAAAATGCTGTATTATACCATCATTGCTTTCATTATTTAAACTGTTTATCTGCATGGGGAAAGAAAAAAAACACGATCATGGTTTTTAACAGTATTTCACTGTGTCCAATTTGTTTTTCAGCATGCATAAAAATAATTATGCTGCTGGTTTCTCTTTTTCAATCAAATATGTGGGACACATTTTTATATTTTAATTTAGCTTTCTTAGCCTATAAAATAATTAAAAGTTTAAACAGTAATTTAACTGTTTGTCAGATGTTATCACACTTAATTTTCAATATACATGTGTCAATATTTTAAATAGCTGATTAGACAAGCATGCACAAATGTTCTTTTAGATGTGTTCAAAAAAATAGTTTGACCCATATCTCTATTTTTGTCATCTTTCAGACTCCTCTTCCCTTGAAATCATTTGGCACTCTAGGACCCAAAAGTGACATATTGGTGAAAATCACAAGAAGAGACAAAGGAGACGTCCCATCAGATGATTAAATACGCACCTTTTGAAAATGCCTTCTTATAAGTTGTAGTTCAATATCACTTTGTGCATTCAACACTGCATATCTCTGCTGTTTTGCTCATTCCACAATTCCTGAAGAGGCCCAAGTAAATCACTGTGGTGCTTATAAGTGGAATATAATGAACACCAAGGAGGTGTGAATAGGACCTTTTTACGTCTTATCAGGCTAGGGGATAGATCTATACTAAGTACTTATTTGTGTTGGAAGACAAAAATTTAAGTAAGATGTCTATTTTACTAATCTTAACAGCAAAAACAACAATGAAATCTGAGTAGGAGTTTGAATTAGTGCTTCTAATTTTCACATTCTAGCAAAGTTTTTTCAAAGAAACATGTCAAAGAAAAGTGCAATCTAACCATGTCTGTTTACATTTCTGTTGTAGACAATATACAGGATCATTCTTTATGAAAGTTTAAAAACAGCGGCATCCCTCTTGCACAACCTTAAAGCAAAACAACCATTAAAAAAAAAATAAAAAAATCAAGGTCAGCCAGTCTTATTTTATATTTATCCAAGAAAAGCACAGACTTGTTCATTTTCATTTCTATTAAATGTCTAATTAAAATTTCTATTAAAATTCAGAATAACATTGAACCACTATCTGGTGATTCTGATGATGTTTTATTAACATTATTTTTTAAGAAATTAAAAAAATAAACAATGTGTTTTTGATTTGATAGAGTAAGACACTCATATTTTCTCATAATATTCTGACTGTTTTTTATGCTTGGGTTTAATTTTGAGTTGATGGCAATCTCATTTTTACTTTTGAGTGTACACAGTACGAGTGATTTGCTTACAATTCATTCAAATATTTATTTGCTATATGTACTGTATAATCATTTTTGGAAATAAAGCGATTTACTTGCAACCATGGATGAATTGTAATTTATTGTTGGAAAATATTATAAACAAACAGCAGCAACAACAAAATTATTTTCTTCTTCTACATATGAACACCAGAGTACCTTTTGTTTTTAAGTTATCTGTATTTTTTTTATCAAGGTCTTTTCATTATTTTATAACACAAATGCACCAAGGAAAAAACAAAATAAAATTCCCTAGCTCCCCTTCCCTCGCACACTGGATCAGACACATTCAAAAATAGCCTATGCAGGCATTGACATGTTTTCAACATATGACACAAAAGGCTGCCAGGTGTCCCAGAATCTTTTTACAGAACCGTTCAGGGCATATTTAAATTTTTCCAGAAGCATATAATACATCACTTCTCTTATCCATTGCTCATATGCTGGGGGTGTGGGTCATTCCATCTGCATAAAACAGTCTCCTAGCCAGAAGAGAGCCAAAAGCAATGAAATTATTCTCGTATTTGCTGAAGGACATATCCACAGGGGCCACCTCGAATAATGAGATGAACAGTGATGAGAGTACAGTTTTGCCACATATCACAGAGAAGGTGTCAAAAATAGATGGCCAATAGGTCTACACATTGGGAAAGATCCAGAATGTATGCAAGTGTGTAGCTGGAGTTTGTTTACAACAATTACATGTGGGGTCCATGTTGGCTTTGATCTTGACAACTTGTCTTTGGACCAATGCAGCTGGTACACCATGTCTCAGCTTAAACAATACAACAAGCTTATACATGTTTTACCAGCAGTAAACAGAATATTATAAAGCAGAGAGAGTAACATCTTCTTGATCAAGTATATTTCAGATTTAATCTTTTTAATTTTATTTCATAGGCAGATTTCCTCATTGTACAACGTCTGATAAATAATGACATGATGCATTTGCTTGCAGAGGCATAGAGACTTCCTTCAGCTGATGTGCTCGAACAGGACAAAAGGGTGTCTCTTTGGAGAAGTTTGACACTGGAAACCACTCTGATGAGTTTTAAACCAGAAGCCAGCAGGAACAATTCACAAAAAACATGATGACAGAAGATGAGATTGTGGGTCAGGCTTTTCTCTTCCTCCTGGCAGGCTATGACACCAGCAACAATGCGTTATTTGGAGGTGGATGAATTCTTCACAAGATGTGTCATTTGAAGTATTTAGACATTGTATTGAGTGAAACATTGTGGCTGGACCTTCCTGGTTTCAGGTAAAGAAATATTGTTTATCAGGATAAAAAGGACACAATTCAGTAGAATTACTGCTGTTCTAATTGCTTTATTTACACTGACCAAACCCATGCTAAGTCACATGAAAAAAAAAAAAAAGTTTTTTAAGTAACTTTGAGGACTAATCTTATCCATCTTATATTTGTCTAAGTTTTGCACGACCAGTTGAGCATGACTTACTTACAGGTGGATGGACAGTATTTTCTTCCTAAAGGAGTGACGCTTGAGGTTCTTGTAGGATTCCTTCATTGTGACCCAGATCACTGTCCGAGCCAGAGAAGTTCATCCCTCAGAAGTGTTTCAATTTCAGCAACCACTCAGTAATTATTTGATGTGAACTGTTTTTAAGCAAGATATTCTTTAAACCACTCAAAATTTAACCATTAGCTGAGAATTAACATCATTATAGACAACAAGCTGTTCCAAGTCTCACAGAAACAGAAAATGTTACCTTGTCTTTCTTTTCTTTTTCTCATTTAATGTAGCTTTAATGGCATCTGGAGGGATTTATTGATGTAATGAGCTCAAACATTTTCTAAGGAGCAATTGCTTATAATAAATAACTATGAACTCACACAGAATCACGCCACAAGTCTGTAAATATGTGCAGTGGCCTCCTGCCTGTGGACCTTTTGTAGAGTTTATTCATTCTTCCTATGTATATGTGGTGTTTCAGTTTCCTCCCAATAACAAAATCATGAATGTTAGATTAAATGTTAATACTAAATTATCAGTAGGTATCACTGTGAGTGTTAATTGCTTGTCTTTATGTGGCTGTGATGGACATGTGACTTCCAGGATATAGGCACCAACCCCTCGTGACCCTGCACGTAAAAGCAAAGAAAACTGATTAATACATTGTTTAATTATAATATTTACAAAACAAAAATGATAATAAAATGGTTCACAAATGACAATCAATATAAAATAGAATGTGTGTCTGGATTTATCTAACTGAACAGGGAGAGGTAAAATAAGTGGTGGAACAAAACATTTAAAGACACTGAGCTTTGCAGCTTTTCTTTTATTCTGTCTTTTCTCTTTACTAAAAATATTTATTCCATTGAGAACGGAAGAAAAGCAGAATTTAACCATCAGAAGTTGTTTAGTAGATCCTACGCTGACAGGAAAAAGTCTAAAATAATAATTTACACAATCATTTTACGTTAGCGTTGGCTTTTTTAAGTTTTAAGTATAAAATCTTGTCTCTTAAGGCTGCCCCTAAAACAACTTGCAGTGAACCAGTTAAACCATGAACTCTGTCCTCTTTGCTGCTCAAACTCTGAGTTTGTTTGTTTTTACCCATGAAAACAGATTCAAATGCATTTTTTTAAGAAGTGGAAATCTGGGTTTGCACAAAAACCTTTGTAAGAAAAGCTCCATGTGAATGTCAGCACAAAGCAGCTTGTGAGTTAAAAGGATGAATTACATTTTTTGTTTTTTCCACAGAATATATGATCTTTTCATTTGAATCTGTGGTTGACCTCCCAGGTTTACATCAGAAGCAAAAGGTTTGCCCAGATAGAAATCAGGATGGCTTTAGCACATTTGTTTCACCGATTTAACATCATGGCCTGCTGGGCCATCATGGGACAAAGCTGGGTCCTCTCTGCCAACTGCTGCTTCATAATTTTTGTCTTAGACTGATTTGTGGGTATAAAAAGGTAATATTTTTTAAATTTATTAATCATGGCCCATATACAGACCCTTTCTAAAAAATAAAAAATAAATAATAATAATAATAATAATAATAATAATAATAATAATAATAATAA